GTGTGTGTGTCTTTCTTTGTGTGTGTGTGTGTGTGTGTGTGTTTGTGTGTGTGTGTGTGTGTGAAAAAAGGATTGTTTAAAAAATGGATTATTAAAAATAAATATTCTATTTAATAATCACACAATTATTATTATTTAGTTTAGTTGTAGGTGTCCGCTGCATTTGGGTGGTTACTACATTAATATCCAAACGATCACCCTAATGCAACAAGCAGTGTAGCGAGTCAGTGTGATGACTTTACAATGTATCATGTAAACTGAGTCATGTGACACATGCAGATCACCTGATGGATCAGATGGGGTTTCCTCAGTGGATTCTTTGGTCTCCGTGACGACAGCATCTGCAGCTGCAGCAGGTTCTGAATTTTCTTCTGATTTTGGTTCAGGGTCTGGTTCTGGTTCAGTGTTTTCCTCTGGTTTTGGTTCGGGTTCTGGTTTTTCCTCTGGTTTGGCTTCAGGTTCTGGTTTTTCCTCTGGTTTTGGTTCGGGTTCGGGTTTTTCCTCTGGTTTGGGCTCAGGTTCTGGTTGTTCCTCTGGTTTGGCTTCAGGTTCTGGTTTTTCCTCTGGTTTTGGTTCGGGTTCGGGTTTTTCCTCTGGTTTGGCTGGTTCTGGAGCTGGAGTCTGTTCAGCCGGAGGTGCAGCGTTGCCCTCTGCTGGAGCTTCTTCTGCAGCCTTCGTTTCTTATAATACAGACATATATAAATTATCATCCATTTCACATAAATAAATATGACAAGTCAGTACAGTGATGGTATCAGATGCAAAACCCATGATACTTTAATATGTTTGGTACCAAATTCATATACAGTTCAAGTCAAGTCACAGCGCTTTATACAACATAGACTGTTTCCAAACAGTCAAAGTGTTAATGGTGCAAAAATCATCAATTATGAAACAATTTCAACGAATTTGAATATATTTTGTTTCAGGTGTAGCTCTACAGAAGACACTAGTGTTGTTATTCAGCTCAATTAAAAATAATAATAATAAAAATGACAAAAGCACATAACAAAAATACTAAAAATAAAAATGGCCAAAGCATATAAAACAATGACTAAAAACTAAATAAAAAGTGAAAATATAAAAATAAAAGCTAATTCAAAATATTAATAAAAACGATAATAGCATATAAATAATACTAACATAACACTGACAAATCAGGGTTATTAATATACTATTACCAAAACTAAATGAAAAAGTAATTAAAAATACTTAAAAAAAAAAAAAACTACTAAAAATGACAAAACACACAACACAAAAACTAAATGAAATAAAATATGTTTAAGCACTAAAATTACTAACACTAAATTAATAAATAAATTCAAATCAAAACAGAAAACATTTAAATTCATAAAATTTTTACATGTATAATATACAAATACTTTTAAAAAATATATAAAAATTCAAAGTTATGATCTCATCCAATCGTATCAGTGCAGTTAAATTGATAAATTAGTATTCAAATACAGTCAGGTATTTCATAGCGTACTATGATTTGTTAAAGAAACACACACCATGTCAGTGTTTTATAAGCGATGTCCATCACATGCATGTTATTTACCTGCGGCAGCTGCAGGAGTGGCCGCCGTCTGCGCGCCGTCAGCGAGAGGTAACTCATATTCACACACGTATGTTAAACTCTGGAACAGATTACAGTCAGATCTGTGTGAGACGTGCTTCATTTTCATCTTTTAGCATTTATAAAAGCGGTAAATGACACAGTTATGCATGAGGCAATTTATGGACAGACAGGAGCCTGACACTAAGCAGAGACATTTCATACATGTAGTTTATTTTGCAATAATGTCCGAATTATTGTACATTATCACACTTATTACAAGGCTACATCAAATAAGTAAATAAATGTGCATGAAACATTAGATTCGAATTTAAACAAGAGATATGAAACTAGAACATCTATAAATAAAATCGATTGTCTTGGTCAATCGTTATCAGTTGTTGTTATCAGTGTTATTTTAATATATATATATATTTTCTTTAAAGTAGTAGTAATTTTGTTTTGTGTTTTTATCATTTCTTTTAGTTTTTTTTTTATTTCTATACATATTTTATACATTTAGTTTCTGCTTTAGTTTTAGTTATTTTTATCATATTATTAATTTAACGTTGAATGAAATGAAAAATGTTTCCTTGACAACTAGCTCAAATAAAATACGTTTTTTATATTTTATTTTATTTCAAATAATGAAGATTTTTTTTATCGTTTAGTTTTAGTTTTAATTGTAATTTTAGTAACCCATAATAGCCCTGGTTGTTATCAGTGTTATTTTAGTATCATTGAGATCTTAGCATACTATTTATTATTTTGAATTAGTTTGAATTTGTATATTTTGTTTTCATTTTAAATTTAAAGTTTTAGTAATTTTGTATCGTGTTTTTGTGATTTTTATTGGTTTTAGTTTTCTTTAAATAATGTCTATATAGTTCTATTAATTTTAGTTCAGTTTTAGTTTTTATTACATCAAGTTAAACTAAATAAAAACATGTCACCTTGTCATCTAGCTGAAATAAAATAATTTTTTTTTAAATTTTTTTTTATGGTTTTAGTTTTAGTTAAGGTTTTAGTAATTAGTTATATTCTCATTTTTATAAGAGACCCTCCATGTTTTTACATTGCAGGTCAATCCAAAGAAACCGCTTGCACTCAGTAGTGCACTAATGTCTGTCAAGGGCACTTGAACATGCATCTCTCATTATCTGTGCATTTAACTCTACCTCAGTCTTCGGCGGCTTTGAAGTCTTCACTGGATTGAAAAGTGCATCCGAGAAATCTAACAGAAAAACAATCATTGAGTGGTTATTTGATGTTGCATTCAGTAAAAGGAGGTTAATGTAGGTTTGTAGGTCAGTACCGGCGAATGCAGCAGGGATGTAGTCCTTCACCTCGATGTGCACGAACAGAGACGGCAGCGTGAGCGGCATGTTGCTCTCGCTGCGCAAACAGATGTGCTGGAAACCTGCAAACAATGACAGCGTTTGACAAACTTGTTAAACTTGATAATATTACTCAAAGGCCACTTAAATAGAGTACACTTTCATCACTTTCATCACATTAACACACTTACGTAAGTGCACTTTTTAAAAATGCACTTTGTAATAATGTGTTTTACTTAAACATACAGTTTAAGTCATTATGTTTTTGTCATGCTTTAAAGGGGTCCTATTATGCTTTTTCACTTTTCAACTTTAGTTAGTCTGTAATGTTGCTGTTTGAGCATACAAAGGATCTGCAAAGTTACAAAGCTCAAAGTTCACTTCAAAAGGAGATATTTTATTTAACAGAAATCACTTTTCAAAAACTACAATGAACGACTCGTTTGGACTACAATGCATATTTTCAGGGATTTGTGAATCACAAATACCGACGAATGGGACGAGACCTGGTTGAGCTGCACTAGAGAAGGCAACGAGTGTTATCACTAGAGCCCGACCGATATATCGTTTTGCCGATATGAGCCTGTCGCGATATATCGGTATCGGCGAATATGCCGCCGATAAGAAATTTTTTTTAG